GCAAAAAATCCGCTGGCGGGCCAGGTTGAAGGGTCGTCGCAGGGCAGTTCAAGCAGATGCGACCTGGCTGAACCTCCTGCAGTTTGAGCAGTTCGCGAGCTGTGCTGGGAGAGGAAGCATTCATGATACCTCGATGCGCATTTCATACAGTTCGGGTTCCGTTCATGAACAGCACATCTATTGATTGCCAAGTTGTTTTGCTAGTTTGAAGTTGGAACCAACAGCGATTGGAGGGCGTTTCAAGCATCACATTGAGGTGATGGGGCAGACACGAAGATGTATCAACCTGGCTTTCAAGCTCCTTGGCCAAGTTCAAGGGATGTACGCTTGGATGGCATTGCGGCATTGATGGCCTCAAATATGCAAGATTCATTTCAAGCTCGTGATGATGCAATGCCAGCCATCCAGACAAGCCAGAAAGCTACTCCTATGCCGCGCAAGTGCAGAGGCATTCATGATTGTTTGATCATATGTTGGCCCTGTAGACCAGGTACATGCAGATGAACCACACAGAGCGCATCGATTACTTGAAGAAACTGTTCGACACAAAGCTATCAAAGGAGAGGGGAGCAAGAATGTGTATCCAGTTTGCAGTTCTGCACATACTAGGATATACCAGGAAACAAAGACTTGCCAAACATGCAAGATTATAACTTTCAGACCTGCCCTTTGCCTTCAATGACCTGTCGCAGGGTGGCAGTGTGAACCGTCCTGACCAGTATGGCATTTCCAACGAGGACGAACTGCAACTAACTTTTCAAGCGCTTGGCATTTGATGCCGAATGGTCATTGGGTCGGCTTTCTTGATGCATTGATGTTTTGAAGTACAAGGAGGAACCATTCCACGCTGAAGAATCGGGATGTACTAGGGTCCTAGGAGGTCCTAGGCCGCGTGCGAGACGCTCGCAGGAGCTCAAAGGTTTAGCACTGAAGATGGGTTTGCCAGAGCAGGAGGCAGTGCAATCTTTGATGTACATTTTGAGCTTGCATCAGGCTAGCAACATTCAAAACCTAGAGATTCGATGGTTGCGGAAACAGGATGATGATGAACATGCATATGGTGGAGTAAATGGGCAATGTGAAGTTTTGGAATTGAGTAGTCCAGGGGGGAAGGTCAGCCGAAGAAAAAACACAATTTGTTTTGTTTCCGCCACACAAAGCTATATTATGGGCAACCAACGCCTTTGGTCGCCTCCAGAACCCTTGAATAATGATTACTCTTGGCTGAGGAGTTTCTTTCCCAATGCTTTTCCCGAGACCACATCAGCGCAAATCTGTCAGGTTAGCCATTTGGACGTGCAATTCCGGCACTATGATTTCCATGGCTCCGGCACTTTAGATTTGGAGGAGAACGGCCAAGCAGTTACGTGGCATGAGCTGTGCAAAAGTAGCATTCCGTTAAAGTTCTTTGAGATGCCTCTAGCATAGTCTTTGCATCCTTCTTACGCTTCGTCCCTCTACTAGGTACAAATATGTAAATAATTGTAAATACTATTTGCCACGGCCGAAGGACTTAGGTGTTAGCTCCTGACCTTCAATGGCCAGAAATGCTTGATTGGCTTGCCCCCAGGAGGTGAGGAATATCCTGGCAGATATCGGCCTCACCCCGCAAAATCGTGAGGAGAAGTGCGAGGTGGCCATTTCAAGACGTTTGACGGACATGAGTGGAAAACCACCGTTTGCAAGCGTGTGTACGGCATGTGCTGTTCTGCTTGTTGTTTGCCTTTTTTCCTTCAGATTTCATCTTCAGAGATTTGGAGTCTTTTGTAGCAGTTCTCCTGTCGCACTCTCTCCACGCTCCAGTGAGTAATTTGGCTTGTGCAAATCCACACCAGCCCACAGGTAACATTCGTTCCGTTGCCGTCGATGGTCGTCATGGTGCACCGGATGTTCTGGTCTTTCTTGGGCCTGAGCATAGCTTTACCGCTTGTTAAGGCCGTGCAGCACGGGGATGTGGCAAGACTCCAGCAACTGGAGAGTGGCGATCAACACGACAGATGAGAACGTCATGACTCCCTTGATGTGGGCGGCCTGTGAAAACTCCGAGGCTTTGACTCCCTTGTCGAACAACCCCAACCTCGACCTGCAGAGACAAGACCGGCCATTCTGCCCGCCATTGGGTCAGGCTGTGGAGGCCGTCTTGGCCACCCAGAGATCAACCTGGACAAAGTCGGCTGGTCCACGCTGATGTAGGCTTATGAAAAAAGCTATTGCTATCTCTGGAGTGTTCAAAAATATTTATTTTTAGGAATAAAATAGGACCCCAAAATAGGAATAAAATAGGGCTGACAACACAAAATAGGAATAAAATAGGGCTGACAACAAGAACAACCGTGAAATTGGAAACAAATAGGATCGAATATTTCAGATTTACCGGAAGGCAGGTGGCTCATTCCGATCAGACGCATGGTCAGACACAAGTGAATGAAACTGGATATTTAATAGCAGTGCGGCAATGCACAGTTAGGCCGGCATTCGATTGGAATGATTAGATTAGATTAGATCCAATTATGTCCTTTCATTTTCCTCGAAACATTGATTATTTCCTTTAATGTTCCTTTAAACAATTAAAACTTCATTCAATTTTCCTTTTAAAACTTATAAATTCTTTTAGTGTCCCTTTAAACATATAAACTCTTTTCATTTTCCTTTAAACATGATCAATTTCTTTCATGTTCAATTAAGATTTTTTTAAATTTATGTAATTTTCATTTAAAAAATAAATTCATTTCATTGTCTATGTAATTTGTTTTTATTCCTATTTTTTTGCTATTTTGGGGGGGGGCGGCGAAAATCGTCCTATTTTTTCCTATTTTCACTTCCTATGTCGTACTAGTTTTTTCTATTTTCACTTCCTATTTTTTCCTATTTTTTGGGGGGGTGCAAAAATCGTCCTATTTTTTCCAATGTTCAATTCCTATTTTTCCTATTTTTTAAATTAAAAATATGAAAAAATAGGAAAAAAGGAAAAATTAGTAAAACAATAGGAAAAATTAGGAAAAATAGGAAGAACATGGGACGATTTTCAGGCCCCCCCAAAAAATATGAAAAATATGATCATTTTCAGGCCCCCAAAAAAAAATATGAAAACAATAGGATTATAAACAATAAGTAAAAAATATATATTTAAAGGAAATTTTTAGTTTTTAAAGGAAATGAAAGGAAATAATCAATGTTTGAAAGGAAAGTGAAAGGATCATTTTTTTAAAGGAAAATGAACGGAATTTAGAATTTTTACAAGGAAAATGAAAGGAATTTATTTGTTTAAAAGGAAAATTGAAGGAATTTATAACTTTTCAAAGGAAAATGAAAGGAATTCATCATTTTTTAAAGGAAAATTAGAGGAATCTATATTTTTTGAAGGGAAATTAAAGGAATTTATCATTTGTTTATTGAGAATGAACGGAGTTAATAATTTTTTAAAGGAAAATAAACGGATGGTTTAAAGGAAAATGACATGAAGTAATCCATTTTTTATAGGAAAATGAACGGAAATTTGCTTCCAGTATGTTGCTTCCAGTCATTTGCTCTTCGTATCCATTTCATGTTCCTGTCCTAGAGTGCTGCCATTCTTTTCCTTTTTTTTCCTTTCCTACTTCTAAATCCAGCTCTTTTCTTTTCCTATTTTTGAGACTCATCCTCTTTGTGTCCGTTTTTTTTCCTTTTTTCAGTTCCTATTGTTCCTATTTTATTCCTATTATTTTCCTAAAATAAATATTTTAAGGCTTTTCAGACATAGCAGGCAGCTTTATGTCATAAATGTAGGCTGTTCGCCAAAATACGGTCGAGAAGGTCAGAGCAATCTTGACAAACGGCGTTGCCATGGACCTGCAAGGGCGGACGGGGCGGAGTGGTGCCACTGCCCTGAGCATCGCCGCGCAGAGTGGCTCAAGACCTGGTCTTTTGGACGTTGGTGTCCAACTTTTGCATGACTGTCTGTGGGTCGCGCATTGAAGTGCTGGCCCGGAATGAGCAAAACGCATTGAAAGCAGCCAAAGCAATGCAAGTGCTGGGCAGGGATAGGTGCACTGACGTGGAAGAAGAGGGCACTGGGCATGATTCAAAGGTAGTAAATAAACGCCAAGGAGGAAGATGCACTATAGGCCGTAAGAAGGCAATGCCACATGGCAGCATGTGGGTTGTTGACACTTGGATGGCCCACAAGGCCTGGCGCTGCAGTGGTTTTTTCGCCGCTGCCTCAATGCTGCTCTTCTAGCCCTTGTGGCTCCATGTGATTGGGAGCCCACCAGCTGTGATTTGCTTAGTGCCTCCAGGCCAAAGATGCAAAAGTAGCCGAGACCTGCACACTTACCCATCAGCTTCCAAAGCGGTTGGACACGGCGAGAAGCAACTGCCACCCTGTTAGCGTTTCTGCTTCCAGCAACCAATTGTGCCAAAAGAAAAGTATGCAGTTTTGATCCATCCGGGCATCATGTTCTCAGCTGGTACTCTGATGAAGCGCAGCTCAGAGGTGGTGGCATCAAGCCACTGCCGTGGACCATCAATCACGGCCGTGAGAGGCCCTTTGCGCTTCTATTCCGGGCTTGGGTAGCACTTTAAAGGGCATGAGCGCAGCAACAATGAGAAACATCAACCAAGACTGGGTGCCATACGGCAGTGTTACCCAGGCCCACGTCACTGCGCCATTTGCTTGAGCTCAGTCATTTGACTTTTGGCCACCAGTTCTGGACATAATGATCAGCGTGTCCAGAACTGTAATTGCTAGAAGATCTAGAAGCAGCTCTAAAAGCCAAAGACCCGGGCTCCTCGAATCTCCTTGTCGTACTAACCTGCTACTCTTTGAGTTTCTCCGTTGTCGATGCCTTCTCCCTCATCAGTGGAATCTTTAGCGGAAGCGTCCTACTGACCTACTGATTGAAGATTTTGATCTTCACCGCAGCCAGGGCAGATAGACGCACTACTTTACGCACTTGCAAATCACGTGAGTTGTAAGATTTGGCTGGAATGATTCGGTGATGATTAGTGCTACTTGATTTGGTGGATGGAACACACCTTTCTTGGAATTGTTTTCCCATCTCAGGCAGTTTCTTTTACATTTTCGTCCTCCTTTTCACCATCCTCATCAACTGCAAGCCAGTCTTAGTTTGCTTCGGCATTGTCAGTTGATGCAACGGATCGATGTGCCTGGATTGCCCTGCGGCTGCGTGGTGGTCGAGCAACCTTTTCTCCACAGGCTTAAAATGCCCGAGCACTTTGTGACCCAATTTTTACTCTAAGCTGATGTTGGTAGTTTTTTCTTTTTCGTGCGCTGAAGATTTCGTTGGTCCATGGTCAATACACGTACTGTCACACTTGGCCGTTTGGCTATGCTTGGCTCAATTTGGGACCTGTGGTCACGAACGTGTTTCATTGCTTCTCATGCTTCGGCCGGGTGGCCGCATGATTCAGCGATTTTGACCAGGTCACCGAATGCATCAACGAGAAGACTCAGAAGATGGGCTGCGAGGAAACAGATTTACTTTCCGTATGTTTCCGTGATGTTTTGCAATGTTGTGTTTGATTCCACATGTTTTTTTTGAGGGTGTCGGCATTGCAACTGCAATCCTTGACCGTGAGTATACTGATTAGCCATTCAGATTCCTTAAAAACACTTTGTCCCGGCACTCCATTTGTGCTTTGGTAGGTTCGTGGATCCCAGCCGCAAGAAGTTGTATTTGTTTAAGTGTTGGACATCAGTTTGCAGGAGTTCGAATTTGAAGGCTTTTTGGACCTTCTTAAGTCTGTGAGGGAGCGTTTGAAGCAGGTGCTTTTGGTGGGATCGTCCTGTGGAGGAGGGACCAGATAGATCATGTCAGTCGCACATTGACTTGGCCGGGCCAAGCACAGTTTTTCAATAGCTAAACAACATAAGTATAACATAGTGTACCAGTTTACAGATCACCGCAGTTGTTTTTGATAAGAGAGTGTTGTGTGCACTTTGGGTAGCTATGCCATACTTTGTTTGAAGTATAGGTACTTGTAGTTGGTTGAGCAGTATTGCAGCGAAGACTGCAATCAAGAAAGAAGTTATATAATATAGGTCTCCAATGTTTATTTTATTTGAAACGTTTTTTCTTTTGCTTCCATGTGTAGGTTGAGCCTCACAAATGCATGTTTGTGTCATTTGGTGTTGTTTTAACTGTTGCATTGGTGCCAAGTCTGGGCACTTGGAGTGTAGTGAGTCAAACATCGAGGCTCAGCAAGCTACCAGTTTCCCTTGAACTTGTGTTTGATGGTGAGGTGCAGAGCATCAAATGCTGGCGGCTCTTCCATGAGGCCAGGAGAAAAGGTACAGTAAACATCAAATACAGACTGACCAACAACCAGCTTAGACTAGTGAGATGTCATACTAGAAATTACTAGAATATATATTATATAGACATTTTCAATTTTTCGGGAGCACTTGGGTTCTGGCAAGAACCTGACAGAAGGCTGTAGATAGTGTAAGGGGTAAGGGTGCTGCAAACAGCCCACAGGACCTCCACAAGAGTCATCGCATGTTTGATTGCCAAAATAGCACACGCAAGATCACGCAGGCCGCAAGCCCCTTTCCTTTTGCACATGTGGTTAACCTTTGTGTGGTTGCATGAACCAGGACGGTTATTTGGTGGAGGCCATCGCAAGTAGGGTGGAGGCCATCGCGACTAGTAACAAGGACGATACTAGTAACAAGGACGCCATCAGGTGGAGGCCATCGCTATTGGGTTGGAGGCCATCGCTACTAATAACAACTACTAGGTAGTAACAAGGCAGCACCTTCCCACTCCCCTTGCCCAACTTCTTTCAGCCGCTGCCAGCAGATGAGGCAGACATCCTTGGGGTAGACAGCCTGGAGATGCTGAAGATCTTTTCGCTTCTGGAGAGAAGCGACTCGAACTGGGCTTTGAGTCGGCATACTTATATAGTGTACATTAGTGATCTTACCTGAAACTCCTCAAGACGTTAGTTTTGCCAAGGTTTGCAGTCAAACACTTTTGTGTTGAGCACGCTGGTTGGTGAACAAGTCATCGTTCATTCGCATACAATTGGCAGCTCTATCAGGCCCGAACGATGCTATTCAGAACCTGTCGAGGGAAGAAGCGTCACCGAAGACGGTGAATGGACCCTCAGGCCCCTGAGGTCGTCACACAGAAGCATTTGAGCATTCTGCCAGGAGAACAAGCTTGGTTTCTTCTTGCGCTCACAAGAAGAACACTCAGAGGTTTGCACCGCAGTTCCGTGCTGCTTTCGCATGTTGCAACTCTAACAATTCAAGCGTGGCTGGAATAGATGGTTTGGTTGTGTTTTTCTCACCCAGGGGTATTGAGATGCCTCAAAAGTCGGGTACATCTCGCCATTGCACATATCAAGCCCTGAAATTTTCGAGAAAATATCCAATCTCATTTGGGTTGGATCCGCTTTAAGCCTATCATTGGCCAACCAGGCTGTGAACATTTTCGCGTCGTGTGACGCGGATTGTGATGGCAGGAAGCCCCAGAAAGCCCCAAGCCTGCTGAGTTTGAATTGGACCCAAACGGCCCTGGTGGAGCCAAAATATGCCAGAAACGGCCAGAGCAGAAGAAATGACAGTTAAGCCCAAGATATTCTCAGATGCCTTCGAAAATGATCGCACGAGCTTTTTGCGTAGACACACTCGGAGTGGACGTGACTCAAAGTAACTGAGGTTGTTTGAACCTGGACGAGTTTCAAGCTTTTGTCCAAAAGGCAAGGCAACATAGGTCGGTTAAAGTGTCGTCATGCAAAATTGATTATTGTACATTTAGATACATATGTGGGACTGCCCGTTGCCCCAAGGGGGGCCAACAGACGCTGGACCAGTTTTTCTTTCAAGATGAGAAAGTCGGCCTCGAGCAACAACAAATTGCACATGTTTGGTGTGAGAGAGTTGTTGAGATTGATGCGTTTACTGCAATCATTGAGGCTAGGTAAATTCTGCAGCGGCATCACTGGAGTTTTCAGGTAAGAGCCAAGTTGCTGACGCTTCGTCGGCGAGAAGAAGTCCAGATTGCAAAGAAGTTACATGGCGTGTTTGGTGGTCGGGCAATCGTCAATCCCCTGCGTAGTGAGAAATGTTGCAGGCCAAATGTAGTTCTGTTCAACAACATACTTTCCCGGAATTGAAGGAACGATCACCGGCTTTGACACTGCACCTGAGGTTTGATTTGGAGCCGGAGATTCTGCACGAGTTTCGTTCCTTGGTGACTCAGAAAACCTTCATGGGGTGCAGAACGATGCCGCTGGGTGTTTGAAGAGTTGCCAATGAGGACGGCAACCAACCATTGAACAAGGTACGCTTTTCTCCTGTTGGCTGTTGGCTAGGTCGATTTGAGGTCCCTCAGCGAATGGCTGGACCACAGTGTGCTTTCCAAATTAGCATAAGAAAAAGATGGAAACTGTTTTTTCAGGCTGTTTAGTCTAGTTAGGCATCAAGGGCGGTATTTGTAATCTGGGTGGCGAGCCTAGTCTTCTCCTCTTGCAGGCTCAAATTTGCCGTTCTTGTGGAAGATTTTCGAGCGCTACTCCTTCAACAAGCCGGACCAAGGCACTCATCACTTGCTAATCAGAAAGAAGGGACAAATGCATGGTCCAATTAGAGAGAGAGAGAGAGTGGGTCTAAGTTGAAGTCCAATAGATACAAGGCCCTGGTGAGTTGCATATTTGAACTAGAACATGGGTTCATGGTGGGCAAGTTTAGATGTATGGCACGTCCAGTTAGACGCATTCAAATGCCGAAGACAAGTAGTAGTTGTAGTAGAAGACAATAGAAGACAAAGTAGCAAGTTGCATTGGTTGCATTGCAGGTGTGCGCAAGGAAGACCTTTTGCCATACATGGTGGATATCGGCCTGGCTCCATCCAATACTGAAGAGCCTCAGCCACTCGGAGATCACTCACTGCATGGGGCCCATGAAGACCTTCTTTGGCTACAGCAAGCTGGATGTTACTAAGTTGGATATCGCTCCAAACAACTAAACTTGATGTTTTGGTCTTGATTTGAGGACATAGATGTATTCCGAGTTCTTGTAGACTTGAGGTGTCTTCCATTGATTGACATCATCACAGAGTTTGCCCGGCCTTACACCAAGTTCCCTGCTGGGTGGCCCAACTCTTCGGACAGATCAGTGACACGTAGATGCAACAACTGGTCCACTGGTAAAGATCACTTCCCCGCTAACCTTTTGTTCAAGTGCATCTTCAGAGAGGGTTTGGAAACTGTGAGTGTGAGACCTTGACCCTTGCTCAGTCTAAACGTCTAGAGTCTAAACCATATATAGAGTAAACCTCCAGACCTAGAATCTAGATGTCTCAAGGGCAAGGCCTTCACGCGTTGGTACTCCATCGCTCGTGTGGCGTGCATCTCCCAAGCGTTTGTTTGAAATTAGTACCTAAGTGGATTTGAAGGTTTGGTTGGGATCATGCTAGTGAGGGTGGCCTCGAAATTAGTTTCTACTTTGACTTGTCGGGTGTTGTGTCAGAGAGACTTGAGTATCTCAGCATCTCAAATTGCAAGGTGTCCACTGTGATTTGCCATTGAGAATTTGTCCTCCACTGTGATTTGCCTCCGACCTCCTCAGGCCTTGCTGGACATCATGCAGAAGGTGTGGTTGAATTATTCGGACACGCGGCAGATCCCAGTTTGGAACACATGGACACGCAGGGCTTTGTTAAGCATTGATTCTGTTTGTCGATATCTTCTATCGACCAAGCCATTGATTCTTTTTCCCACTGCTGTGATGGGGAAGTATAGTGTTGCCTAGCAATTAATGTCACATCACATTGACAAGCCTCAACACAACCAAGAGGTGGGAAACATGATGCTTGGCTCCTTTGTTGGATTACATAACACAGAATGTAACTGTATAAGGTGATGCACTGCGCCAGATGATTCTTTGTTTTTCGTACATTGGCGTAATCATAGCCTTAAAACATCTTTAAAACATATCTCATGACTCACTCATGACAGATTACTTTTCTTCCAATGTTATGGCGCAGCGCACAGGGGCGTTTGGCGGTCCGTGCCAGTCTGGAAGAGGAGGGCAAGCATAAGCATTCAAGCAATTGGTTCAGTGCGGGCAAGAAGGCTTTACAAAGCCAGCACATTCATGAGTGCAGTCATTTTGCCGTTTGCGACCATCAGCTTGATGACACCACTAATCACTAATCGCATCTTACAAGCGCGTGAAAGGATCTAAAGCGGGACAGGAGTTTTATGCGTTGGTGGTACTAATTGACTTGCAGTGGCAGCACGTGCTGGGAAGGACTTAACAGCTAGCTTCCGGTACTACGATCGGGACGGAAGTATCTCGGCTGAAGCCAAGCAAATCATTGATCCAAGCGGGTCTTGGGTTTTGCTAGACCTCACTACCAGTTGTTCATTTGAGCATCCACAAGCCCAGCACGATCACATTGCTCACAGCACGGAACCAAGTCAAGCATGGTGTGAGCCAGTGACTGAGCCGTGGTGCATTGGTCGGTTGGGTCTTTTGAACGCACAGGCGGGCAACTGAGCATGCAAGAAATCTACGGAATTCTCGAGGACGAATTCAGGGCAGGAGTCAGACTTTTGCAAATATCTGCCATGGCTATGTAGTCATCACCGGATATGCGATGGCTGTCCACGAGAAAGCAATGATGTATCATGACTCGGACGTCCAATGAAATGCCGACCTGTGGCGAAGAACTGGCTGGTGAGATTACTTACAAGTGAGGACGGTGTGAGGAACTAGGGAACACTGGAACACCCATCAAGCCTCAACCAGCTCTTGACCTACCGTTCACAGTTGCAACACTTGTAGGCTGTAACAGCCGAAGCACCAGGAGTTTGGAATGCTTCCACGGAGCAAAGCGGAGCAGCAGGAGGCGGGGAACAGCGACCTTAGCTGTTCGGACGTCTCATCCATGATGTTGGCACTGCAGACACGGTAGACTCGATAGACCCGTGATTCTGCAGTCAGATTCTTTTGTACATGCGATTCCATCTTCAATGAGAATCACCGCACGTATTCTGATTCTGACGTTTGACACTGCGGTATGGCTGATGTGTGTGTGGGAAAGAGACAGCAACGTCCTAGTGTATAAGACAACAAGTCGTGTCCAAATGGACGCAGGTGGGGCTCGTCATAGAGCAGTTGGATCGAGATGGATCTGGTGCTTTTGATCTCTTCGAGCTCCTTTGTCCAAGATAAGTTTCCCGAAGCCCTTGTGTAGTGACCGCATGTCAATCGGCATTCAACGATTGAACCTTTTTGAGAACCATGTTAATTAATTTCTATTTGTTAAGTACGCCTGCAACATCGTGCAACTAAATGTTTTAAAGCGATTGAAGTGAGGTTCCAGATGGTTACGGAATAAATGTCCGATCAGCGACTGAGGGTCCGGATCAGCGACCAGGATCAGCGACTGCTGGATCAGCGACTACTGTTCCCGGATCAGGGACTAATTCTCTCCGGATCAGCGACCAAGAACCATAGGATCACTGGTGACCGATCCTGGCGACCGATCCGGTGTGGTTGGTTTGGTTTGTCTTCCTTTCCTTCGTTAGACCTCTCTGGCGACCGATTCTGACCACCGA